GGTCGAAAAATAAGTCGCGGTGGTCGAAAGTGTAGTCGCGGCATGGCAAACAATAAGTCGTGGCGGTCAAAAGTTCAGTCGCGGCATGATCAAAAAATAAAACGCCGCTCTCATAAAATAAGTCTCGGGGCTCAAAAATTTAGTCACGTCGGTCGAAATTTTAGTCGGGGCATGGTTGCAAAATAGATCGCGGCGGTCAAAAATCAGTCGTAGTGGTCAAAAAATAGGTCGCGGTTGTCAAAAGTTTAGTCGCGGTATGGTCAAAAAATACGTAGCATCGGGCAAAAATCAGGCGTGGCGGTCAAAAAATTAGTCGCGGCATGGTCTAAAAATTAGTCGCGGGGCTCAAAATTAGTCGCGGCAGTTGAAAAACTAGTCGCGGCCTGGTCGAAATTTTAGTCGCCTTGATCAAACATTTAGTCGCAGCAGTCAAAAAAATAGTCGCGGCATGATCAAAAATTAAAACGCGGCTCTCATAAAATAAGTGGCGGGGCTCAAAAATTTTGTCATGTCAGTCGAATTTTTAGTCAGGGCATGGTCGCAAAATAGGTCGCGGCGGTCGAAAAATTAGTCGTGGTGGTCAAAAATTAGGTCGCGGCAGTCAAAAGTTTAGTCGCGGTATGGTGAAAAAATAAGTGGCGACGGGCGAAAAATCAGTCGCAGCGGTCAAAGAGTTTGTCGCGGCATGGTCAAAAAAATAGTCGCAGCGGTCAAATTTTCAGTCGCGGCATGGTCTAAAAACCAGTCGCGGGGCTCAAAAAATTAGTCGCGGCGGTCAAAATGTTAGCTGCGGCAGGGACGGAAAGTAAAACGCGGCAGTCAAAAAATCAGTCGCAATGGTCAAAAAGTAAATCGCAGCGGTCAAAAAAATAGTCGCGGGGCTCAAAATTAGTCGCGGCAGTTGAAAAATTAGTCGCGGCCTGGTCGAAATTTTAGTCGCCTTGATCAAACAATTAGACAAGGCATGGTCAAAAAATTAGTCTCGGGGCTCCAAAAAAAGTCGCAGCGGTCAAAAAAATAGTCGCGGCATGATCAAAAATTAAAACGCGGCTCTCATAAAATAAGTGGCGGGGCTCGAAAGTATGTCATGTCAGTCGAAATTTTAGTCAGGGCATGGTCGCAAAATAGGTCGCGGCGGTCGAAAAATTAGTCGTGGTGGTCAAAAATTAGGTCGCGGCAGTCAAAAGTTTAGTCGCGGTATGGTGAAAAAATAAGTGGCGTCGGGCAAAAAATCAGTCGCAGCGGTCAAAGAGTTTGTCGCGGCATGGTAAAAAAAAATAGTCGCGGGGCTCAAAAAAATAGTCGCGGCGATCAAAAAGTTAGTCACGGCCTGGTCGGAAAGTAAGTCGCGGCAGTCAAAAAATTAGTCGCGGCGGCCAAAATTTAGTTGCTGCATGGTCTAAAAATTAGTCGAGGTGGTCAAAAATTTAGTCGCGGCATTCTCAAAAAATAAAACGCGGCCCTCAAAAAATAAGTTGCGGGGCTCAAAAAACGGTCGAAATGTAGTCATGACGGTCAAAGTGTAGTCGCGGCTTGGTCGAAAAATAGGTCTCGCCGGTCAAAAGTTTAGTCGCGGTATGGTCGAAAAATAAGTAGCGTCGGGCAAAAAATTAGTCGCGCCGGTCAAAAATTTAATCGCATAAAGGTCTAAAAACTAGTCGCGTGGCTCAAAAAGTTAGTCGCATTGGTCAAAAAGTAACAAGCAAGTCGCACTGCTGGAAAATTAGTTGCGGCGGTTGAAAAATTAGTCGCAGCTTGGTCGAAAAAAATGTCGCGGTGATCAAAATTTAATCGCGGCATGGTCAAAAAAATAGTCGCGGCGATCAAAAAGTTTGTCGCGGCATGGTCGGAAAGTAAGTCGCGGCGGTCGAAAATTTAGTCGTGGTGGTCAAAAATTTAATCGCGGCATGGTCTAAAATTTAGTCGCGTGGCTCAAAAAATTAGTCGCGGCGGTCAAAAATTTAGTCGCGGAATGGTCAAAAATAAGTCGCAGCTGTCAAAAAATTTATTGCGGGGCTCAAAAAAATAGTCACGATGGTCGAAATTTTAGTCGCGACTTGGTCAAAAAATAGGTCGCGGCGGTCGAAAAATCAATCATGCCGGTCGAAAAATAAGTCGCGGCGGTCGAAAGTTTAGTCGCGGCATGGCAAACAATAAGTCGTGGCGTTCAAAAGTACAGTCGCGGCATGATCAAAAAATGAAACGCCGCTCTCATAAAATAAGTCGCGGGGCTCAAAAATTTAGTCACGTCGGTCGAAATTTTAGTCGGGGCATGGTTGCAAAATAGATCGCGGCGGTCAAAAAATTAGTCGTGGTGGTCAAAAAATAGGTCGCGGTTGTCAAAATTTTAGTCGAGGTATGGTCAAAAAATACGTAGCATCGGGCAAAAGTCATTCGTGGCGGTCAAAAAATTAGTCGCGGGGCTCAAAATTAGTCGCGGCAGTTGAAAAACTAGTCGCGGCCTGGTCGAAATTTTAGTCGCTTTGATCAAACAATTAGTCACAGCAGTCAAAAAAATAGTCGCGGCATGATCAAAAATTAAAACGCGGCTCTCATAAAATAAGTGGCGGGGCTCAAAAGTTTTGTCATGTCAGTCGAAATTTTAGTCAGGGCATGGTCGCAAAATAGGTCGCGGCGGTCGAAAAATTAGTCGTGGTGGTCAAAAATTAGGTCGCGGCAGTCAAAAGTTTAGTCGCGGTATGGTGAAAAAATAAGTGGCGACGGGCAAAAAATCAGTCGCAGCGGTCAAAGAGTTTGTCGCGGCATGGTAAAAAAAATAGTCGCGGGGCTCAAAAAAATAGTTGCGGCGATCAAAAAGTTAGTCACGGCCTGGTCGGAAAGTAAGTCGCGGCAGTCGAAAAATTAGTCGCGGCGGCCAAAATTTAGTTGCTGCATGGTCTAAAAATTAGTCGAGGTGGTCAAAAATTTAGTCGCGGCATTCTCAAAAAATAAAACGCGGCCCTCAAAAAATAAGTTGCGGGGCTCAAAAAACGGTCAAAATGTAGTCATGACGGTCAAAATGTAGTCGCGGCTTGGTCGAAAAATAAGTCGCGGCGGTCAAAAAATTAGTCGCGGTATGGTCGAAAAATAAGTAGCGTCGGGCAAAAAATTAGTCGCGCCGGTCAAAAATTTAATCGCATAAAGGTCTAAAAACTAGTCGCGTGGCTCAAAAAGTTAGTCGCAATGGTCAAAAAGTAGCAAGTAAATCGCACTGCTGGAAAATTAGTTGCGGCGGTTGAAAAATTAGTCGCGGCATGGTCAAAATATAGTCGCGGGGCTCAAAAAATAGTCGCGGCGATCAAAAAGTTTGTCGCGGCTTGGTCGGAAAGTAAGTCGCGGCGGTCGAAAATTTAGTCGTGGTGGTCAAAAATTTAATCGCGGCATGGTCTAAAATTTAGTCGCGTGGCTCAAAAAGTTAGTCGCGGCGGTCAGAAATTTAGTCGCGCAATGGTCAAATAAGTCGCAGCTGTCAAAAAATTTATTGCGGGGCTCGAAAAAATAGTCACGATGGTCGAAATTTTAGTCGCGACTTGGTCGAAAAATAGGTCGCGGCGGTCAAAAAATTAGTCATGCCGGTCGAAAAATAAGTCGCGGCGATCGAAAATTTTGTCGCGGCATGGCAAACAATAAGTCGTGGCGGTCAAAAGTTCAGTCGCGGCTTGATCAAAAAATAAAACGCCGCTCTCATAAAATAAGTCGCGGGGCTCAAAAATTTAGTCACGTCGGTGGAAATTTTAGTCGGGGCATGGTCGCAAAATAGATCGCGGCGGTCAAAAAATAGGTCGCGGTTGTCAGAAGTTTAGTCGCGGTATTGTGAAAAAATAAGTGGCGTCGGGCAAAAAATCAGTCGCAGCGGTCAAAGAGTTAGTCGCGGCATGGCCGGAAAGTAAGTTACGGCAGTCGAAAAATTAGTCGCGGCAGTCAAAAATTTGGTTGCTGCATGGTCTAAAATTTAGTCGCGGAGCTCAAACAATTAATCGCGGTGGTCAAAAGTTCAGTCGCAGCATGATCAAAAAATAAACGCGGCTCTCATAAAATAAGTCACGGGGCTCAAAAATTTAGTCATGTCGGTCGAAATTTTAGTCGGGGCATGGTCGCAAAGTAGGTCGCGGCGGTCGAAAAATTAGTCGTGGTGGTCAAAAAATAGGTCGTGGCGGTCAAAAGTTTAGTCGCGGTATGGTAAAAAAATAAGTAGCGTCGGGCAAAAAATCAGTCGCAGCGGTCAAAGAGTTAGTCGCTGCATGGTCTAAAAATTAGTCGCGGCGGTCAAAAATTTGGTCGCGGCATGGTCGGAAAGTAAGTCGAGGCAGTCGAAAAATTAGTCGCGGCGGTCAAAAATTTAGTCACGGCATGGTCTAAAAATTTGTCGCGGGGCTCAAAAAATTAGTCGCGGCGGTCAAAAATTTAGCCGCGGCATGGTCAAAAAATAAAACGCGGCTCTCAAGAAATAAGTTGCGGGGCTCAAAAAACTAGCCATGACGGTCAAAATTTAGTCGCGGCGGTCGAAAAATAATTCGTGGCAGTCGAAAAATGGGTCGCGGCGGTCAAAAGTTTAGTCGCGGTATGGTCGAAAAATATGTAGCTTCGGGCAAAAAATCAGTCGCGCCTGTCATAAATTTTAGTCGCGACATGGTCAAAAAATTAGTTGCGAGGCTCAAAAAAATAGTCGCGGCATGGTCAAAAAATAAGTCGCGGCTGTCAAAAAATTTATTGCGGGGCTCAAAAAATTAGTCAGGATGGTCGAAAACTTAGTCGCGACATGGTCAAAAAACAAGCCGCGGCGGTAGAAAAATCAGTGATGCCGGTCGAAAAATAAGTCGCGGTGGTCGAAAGTTTTGTCGCGGCATGGTCAAACAATAAGTCGTGGCGGTCAAAAGTTCAGTCGCGGCATGGTCAAACAATAAGTCGCGGCGGTCGAAAAATTAGTCGCGGAGGTCAAAAAATTAGTTGTGGCATGGTCGAAAATCAATTCGCGGCGGTCAAAAATTATAAACTTTTAGGTTGAGTTTGCCAATTGGAAATGAGAGCGAGATCAACCTCAGCGACATATTCGAACGTCAATCAGACAGCACCAACGACCTCCTCAGACCTAATTACGTCACAGATCACGTGACTTTGGACTCACGTGAGCTTGCGATGATGAAGAAAGCGGACAAGAAACTTAAGCGACGCCAGCAGCGGATGTTGTCGAAGAGCAACAAAGACTACGCTGGCTATAAAGTTTCCATTCCAGAAGATATTCAAAAATTGTTCAGCATGCAGAAGGAAAAATCGTTCACGCTGCGAAGAGTGAGCGAAGCCAGAGGCGCTGCAGATGTCGAACTGTAGTTACGACTCAATTGATCCAAAAGCAAAACTTGAAAAAGGCAAAAATCACATTTTAATCAAATTTTATATTTCTGTCTTAACTCTTTTTTGTGTGGAGTTTTTCAATTCACTGTTTAATTAAATTTTAATCTAGAATTGTTATCTCAAAGTTTCCATTCGAAAATCATTTTTGAGCATATCTCTTGTCTTTAGCGTTGATGCTTCTGGGTACTGAAAATTTGTGATATAACTAAAAAGAAAAAAAAACAAAACGGACTGTAGCTTTCTTGAATGCCTCTTATATTCGAAAAAAATTATGCCAGTACTGTGGAATTTTTCTCTCTCATTCTTTTTACTACCTGTTTGTGGTTTGTGAGTTGAAAACCTTCATAAACTTTTTGTATAATATCATCCAAACACACAAAAAGTTGTTGCTTCAGGGGGTGGGGATAGGGGTTAGTTTAGATGCGGGGGAGGGGGCAGGGGGCTTCGGTGGTTGGTGGTGATTTAAGTTGGGGGTAGTGATTCAGCTGGGGGGATGTATCAGGTCTGGGCGGATGAAATAGCCGCGTACGCTACGCATAATTGATGAAATGTAAAATATTCAACCAAAGTATTAACCAAAAGCTTGCTTTTGATAGAATTTTGAATGACTTCAGTGCCAAATTCTTTTGCTTTTCAAATGGCCAAAGTGTCATTATGAAGACCGTGCCCAACGAAAGCTGTTTCCTAGATAGAAATGTTATATAGGTTACCTAGTAAAAAATTTTTGTATTTTCTGTACAGAAATTATTTATTTCTTTCTTAGTTGAGAAAAAAACATATTCTGGAAAGAAAAAAAAACACAAATCAGTTCAGTGCTCAACTGCAAGAGATAAACATGCTTCGAGTATACACAACAGCCGTAGCAATTTAATGCAAATTACCAGTTTTTATAAAAAGTGTTGCTTTGAATTAGGCTGCTAAAACTATCAATCATTATTAGGTCGGTCATGCGGCTATCATGTGGCCTAACGGTTAGCACAACATCCTTAAAGAACGGCAAGGCGGAAGTTCGAGCCGTGCCATGAGAGAAATTTTCTAGTTAGAATTAGTCTACCCGCACCGAGCACCCATGGATCATAATCGATTATATTGTCATAATATGGTCAGCATCTATAAAATGACATAATAATCGATTATAATCCATTAAAAAAAGATTATAATCCTAATTTTTTATCCCAATAAAATCCATTATAATCGATTATATTCGATTATAATGGATTTTTTTTGAGGGGTTATTCATGAATTTACAATTTT